TGCTAGATAGTTCAGGATTATATACATGAAACACAAATAAGTCAATAACATGTGACAAATGGCCTTTTTCAAGATTTATTTTGTTTGAAAGGCAGAATGACAGAAAAAGATGGAGAGACAGGGAAAGAGATCTTCTAACTGCTGGCTCATTATTAAATGGCTGTAAGGAGCAGGGCTGGGCCAGAACAAACCAGGGGCCAGGAATTCCATTCAGGCCTCCATGTGCATGTGATTGCAAAATATGCACCAAATTTTCGATAGTAGAAAATCACAATACTTTTAACTAATAACTTTTGTATCAATAACTTGTTGAGAGGCTATTTTGGATAATGTAGTTAAAGAAAATGTATTATTACTTTTTAGAAAATATACAGGTCTCATTGCAGGATGTTGACTTGGGTTGACTTTGAGGAAATAACCCCAATTAATATGATCATTCAGAACCTGAACAAGTCAATTTTTAAAGTCTGAAAATAAAAATAATAATTCCTGGAGTAACTCACCAATAATATCACCTTAAGCTAGGCTTAGAGAATCTTCAGACTAAATTAACATTGTCTTTATTTATTTATTAAAGATTGATTTATTGATTTGAAAGACAGGGTTTCAGAGAGAGAGGGAGAGAGAAAGAGATCTTCCATTCATTGGTTTACTCCCCAGGTGGCTATGGGCCAGGAACTTCATTAGATTTCCCATGTGAATGAAGGGGTCCAAACACTTGAACCATTTTCCTCTGCCTTTCTCAGGCCGTTAGCAGGGAGCAGGATTGAAGTGAGACCAGCACCCATATGGAAACTTTGCAGTAGCCTTATCTGCTATGCCACAACACAGCTCCCTAAAGGTATATTTGAATGAACTTCTATATTTGGTTAACTAGACCTAAGGTCAAAGTAAACACAATAAAAAAAAAAAAAAGAAGAAGAAGAAAGAAAAGAAAAAGCCTGTAGAAGGAGAGTTCTGGGCCTCCATTCTCCTTTTACAAAGTCTTAGAATAAGTAACTCAGAAAAGGACAAAAGAGTAGCAAGGCAGTGTTTTATTCCTTCCTCGTGTTATGAGTCAACATCACATGCTGCTTTGGGAGCCCCTTTCCACTGGATTCTGAAATGTTGCTTCCATTCAAGAGCATCACTGAACATTGAGTTTTTCCTCTCATTTCCTGTTCTTCACTGCTGTTTGGGTGCTCTTTGATGTTTTACTTATTAACTTTGACCACATGATTTAAAAGATTTTTTTAGAAATGTCTGGTTTTTGAAACCAATAGATTTCCCTCCTCAAGTGTGGTTGTTTCTATAAACATCACCCATTTGCTTTTATTTTTGTTACTGGTAAGTCAGACCAATTACCATTAATGGGTTGTTTTTTTGTCCTTTTTCAGATCAGTTAGACTGATTTTGGTCTTCCTTAATAGTTTTTTTTTTTAAGATTTATTTTATTTTTATTGCAAAGTCAGATAGATATTCAGAGAGGAGGAGAGACAGGAAGATTTTCCGTCCCATGATTCACCCTCCCAGTGAGCACAACAGCCGGAGCTAAGCCGATTCAAAGCCAGGAGCCCAGAACTTCCTCCAAGTCTCCCACACAGGTGCAGGGTCCCAAGGCTTTGGTCTGTCCTCAACTGCTTTCCCAGGTCACAAGCAGGGAGCTGGATGGGAAACGGGGTCGCTGAGACTAGAACTGGCGCCAATATGGGATTCTGGTGCGTTCAAGGCCAGGACTTTAGCCGCTAGGCCATTGAGCTGGGCCCTTCCTTAATAGTTTGTGTAATAAGAGTTAATTATAGTTCCACAAGATACTATGAGAGGGCGTGCTTAGACAGTACACACACTAACATTCTGATAAAAATTAAGTGGACTTTGTTCCAAATGGAATGGATGCTTCTGTATTTACAGGGAGTATTTATGGTCCTTTGCAAAGAAACATCACATTCAGGGCTGAGTTGTTAAAAGCCTTTGAGTCTTAGAGGGTAAAAAAATAACACTAAAACCAAGTTTTCTTTTTTATTTTCCGTGGCTAGCACATCTGCTTAAAATTTACAAAAGGTTTTTAAACTAAGTTCCATAACATAAATATTAAGACACTAGAATAAAACTTTTATTATTATAAGACAGATTAACTTGCCACACCAGTTCAAACTTTTTAATCTTAGTTCTCTGTGGAATTTCCCCTTTTAAGCCTATTCCCTCCTAAAAACAAAACAAAACAAAACAAAAACAAAGCAGGTTTAGTGGAATTACAGAGAGTTTATTCAAGCTTGGTGCCAATTGAATACAAACTTTCTCTGTACACGGAGAGGTTAAGAAGCCCTAACGAACTCCGTCTGAATAGAGTGAGTGTTGCCCAGTACAGGTTATTAATAGCACTCTACACACTTAGTTGAGCACAGTACCGCTCTGTTAAAATGAGGTATTTTAAATGCATCATCCACAAATGATCCAAAGTAAATTGTTCGAAGTTAATGAATTGCTAAATTCTATTTAAACTTTAGAAGTAAGTTTTAATGTGTTGATGCCTCATTGAAATGAACTATAGTTGCATAAAAATTTATATTGAATGAAGATGGTGGCTTAATTAACACAACTCTGACTTAGTAATTTATAGTTAATTATTACATTTTTGTCTGAAGTAACCATTAATTTAAGTTTAGTAGCTTAAAAAAATGTGATTTGTCTATAGGAGGCAGTGTAAAATAAGGCGAGAAGACAGTGAATGTAGCAGGAATCATTTGCATATCAAATAACTTTTCCTTTGTGATTTGGCTATCTTTGTAATAAAGGGAAAATCTCACTTTAACAGAATTTGACTATTTTATGGGTAATTCCTAGATGTATTTCTACTATTTTAAGGGACCTGGTCTCTAAATACTGAGAAGATAGTTCCTGTATCTAAATTTCCCTGTGACTCTGGGGGTGTTTGCAGGTCTGTGCACAGCTTGGAAGACACAACCACCATATCACTCTCTCTTTCTCTCTCACTCTCCCATTCTCTCTCTCTTTCTCTGCCTTTCAAATAAATAATTAAGTGAATGTGCCTGTGTTTTGATATACACATAAGGACTCCTTATCTAATATAATATTGTAAAAATATTTTGAACTTCATAAATGGAAAATTTCATATTAATGATGATTTTATAAATGTAATTGTTATTCATCTACAAAAGTCTCTTAAGCGTATTTTACCAAGAGTCTGTGATGGCTTTCAGATGGTAATATAGTGTGATTGTATGAAATCTCTGAACTGGATGAATGGTCACTTATACAGCTAAAGTAACAGAGACATACAGATGTTAGATAATTATGTAAATACAAAGCAAGACAGTTGTGAAAATTGTTAACAAATGTGAGAACTTTGTTTTCTATAGAAAAAAAATACTTAAAGTCTATTTTCTGTGTTTCACTGTAGCATAAAATGTATTTATTAGAAATTTGCTTTTTTGGACTTGAGACACGAATGATTTGCAAGTATTGTGGAAAAGGGTAAGGACAGAAATCATTGTTGAGATCCTTGTAGCCTGCTGGGCTCAAGGGGATCACTAGGTAGCATGGGTTCCCTGCCTTGTGATGTGTCCAGGGAAACCAGCGAGGTTTCTAACCTGGCCTGAGTACCACAGCCTCCTGGGGACCTCTTCATCTAAGAGAAGGCAGCTGACAGTCCCTCGGGACTGCTGCACTGGCATTTTAATGTTTAGTGACCAAGAGTTGGCCGGTCACCAGGAACATTTGTTTTCAGTCTTTGCCACTGCTCAAATGGCCTCCGTGTGTGAGCCTTGTGTCCCTGTGCCCAGAAGTCTGAAAGGGGCCAGAGAAAGCACACAGGTTCACTGATAGCACTCTGGAGTATTATGAAGCCATAGACCAGATTCTCAGGTGAAAGGAATTGAAAGGCTTAGTCCTTTTAAAAATACGTATTTCATTTTCTTGAAATTGTGGCAAGGGGAGAAGAAAGGAGGGAGGGCGGGGGTGAGAGCAAGAATTTTCTATTTGCTGGTTCACTCCCCGAATGCCTGCAGCTTCAAGGCCTGGGCTAAGACAAAATCAGGAGAGCCTGGACTTCGTTTTATTTCTCCTTTGGGGGTGATGGTGGGAACCCAAGCACTTGGGCCATCCTTTGCTGTCTTCCAGGGTGTGTATTAGCAGAAAGCTGGGTGGAGCTGCAGAGGAGCCAAGACAAATCAACACTGGGACATAGGTTGCAAGTGTCCCAAGTGGGAACTTAACTCACTGTGCCACAACACCTGTCCCAACCTTGTCCTTTCTGTTTTGTATAAAGGTTTACATTCCTCAGACAGACATTTCATTGTTAAAGAGGAGCGTGCTATCTTCCCATAATCCCCTGCATATGTGCTTTGGAAACCAGGTCTGCAAATAGCTTACTGATAGCAAAATGGTCAACATGTCAATCTTTCCTCGTTAGTTTTCTCTTATTCATATTTCTGTCCTCAAATCTACATCCTAATAGGTTTCTAACAAATTTATATTACCTTAAAATGGGCAAAAAAATCAAAGAATTTGATGCAGTGAATACTGAAAGCTTTATTTCTGGATATACATACCCCAAATGTGTCCCAACTGTGTATCTTTAAATATCCCTTTTTCTTCAAAAACAGGCACAGAGCGTATGTTTTTGTTTCTACTTAAGTGTAAGCACTATGATCTGTGACTTTGTTATATTTTTGACGAAGCATCTTCAATATTTTCCCTATCAGATTTTATCCATTTCCCTTAATCTCAGCTGCTAAAGAGTGCTCTGTGGTATCCAGACAATGGCATTTCCACCCCCTACTGATAGACATTTTTTGGGGGTTATATCTTTATCTTTGTATCCCAACAATATGTAATGATGCCTACTCCCACATCCCTACCAGGCCTGGGTTTCTTTGCTAAGATCTTGTTTCTTTGCTAAGCTAAATCGACGAAGTAAAAAAGTTTAGTAGTTCAGTATTATTTTACATCTGTATCTGTATGCCTTACAAACATTGTACTCAAATCTCTCTTTCCTTTAGGAGATTTACCAGTGGTGTGGTTCCTCATGCAACAAATATGAGCGTCTGAAGGCAAGCCAGGTCGCCATCGGCATTCGGGACAATGAAAGGAAAGGCAGATCTCAACTGATTGTGGTGGAAGAAGGCAGTGAACCAACAGAGCTTTTAGAGGTAAGGGTACCACAGTGAGAGTGTGTGTGTGTAATACAGAGAATGAAGGTTTCAGTGTATTTTCTAGTAATGAGACTAAGCTAAGCTAAGGTCTGAAGACACAACCAGGGAATCCCAGTCATAGGACTAGGGAGAAAAGGTCGTGAGTGTTGTTGGTATGACTGTCTATGGAAACACTGCCCTTACCTTCAGCAGTAGATGAGGATCAGAAGATGGTAACACTGTCCAAGTCCAGCTTCATAACATTAGGTAATGGGCTGAAGGAGCTTACATGTTACTTTATAACAGGGATGTGTATCTGTGTGTGCGTGTGTGTGCATGTGTGTGTGTGTGGATAGCTGCATATTTAGTATAATTGATTTCTATTATATTTTAGTTTTGTTCATTTAAAAATATTTTTCCTAGAAGGCACATGGTAGGTTTCAGAAGTTATCCAGAATTTTCCAGAACATGTAGACACACACACACGCACACACGCACAGTGTTGCTGAAATTAATGAAATGATATTTATTTTTCCCAGACTTTAATGTAAACTGTTGCTTTTGCCAATTCTAAAACCTAAAATCCTTTCAAAATATCTTTTCAGTGTGATCTTTTAAGTGGTTCATTTTCAGTGAGAACCTTTTAAAATTATTCAATGCTTTGAATGTTCGAAAGTTTGTATGTGAAAGTTGGTAATAGTTTGAAATCAAGGACCTTTGAATCAGGTAAATGATGCTGTGACTATTTTATATCTGATGCTAAAATTTTGAAACATTTCTATCTAACAGATTCAAGCAGTTAAGACTGAAAATATCTTTAAAAATTCAAAATGTTTTAAACTTTGTCTTCGTTTGAAGTGTTTCAGCTGCATGTTGATTTACATAATTTTACTAAAACTTATATCTATAATGACCACAATTTTATTTGCCAAACCAAAATGCTTTTGTTAGCTTTAATAAAAATCCAGGTGTCCCCAGAAGGTTCATATTATGGACACAGATCGTCAAATGTTAACCTTCAGACAACAGGGTCAGCGTTAAATGTCGCTGAATTAGGACCCAGCATGATAGTCTAGTGGCTAAAGTCCTTACCTTGAATGACTGGGTTCCCACATCGCACTTGTTAGTCCAAGAGGCCCCACTTCCCATCCAGCTCCCTGCTTGTGGCCTGGGAAAGCAGTTGAGGACGGCCCAAAGCCTTGGGACCCTGCACCTGCTTGGGAGACCTAGAAGAGGCTCCTGGGGTTAGAACGGCTTGGTTCAGCTCTGGCTGTTGTGACCACTTGGGGAGTGAATCATCAGATAGAAGATCTTTCTCTCTGTTTCTCCTCCTTTTTGTTAATCTGACTTTCCAATCAAAATAAATAATAAATCTTAAAGAAAAGGTTGCTGAATTAAGGCTGGGGACTTGAACTGGTTATGGCGTCTATGAGTTCAGTCGTTTTTTTTTAAACTGAATATTTCCTCGTGTCTATCTACTACATTTTCTCTATCCATCTGATGATGATCACTATGATTGATTCTGTATCTTACTGTTGTGAACAGTGCTGCTATAAACATAGCGGAGCAAGTGTCCATTTGATGCAATGAGTTCGTGTCTGTTGGAAATATACCTGGGAGCTGCTTGTTGAGTCACAGAGCAATTCCATTTCTGGATGTTTAAGAAATGTCCAGGGGCCGATGTCAGGGATGAGCAGGCTAATCCTCCACCCTGTGGCACCAGCGTATCTTACGGATGCCAGTTCATACCCTGACTGCTCCACTTGCGATCCAACTCTCTCCTTTTGGCCTGAGAAAGGAGTGGAAGATGGTCCAAAACATTGGAATCCTGAACTACTGTGGGAGACCTGAAAGAAGCTTCTGGCTCCTGGCGTTGGATCAGCTAAGCTCTGACTATTGCAGCCGTTTGGGGAGTGAACCCGTGGGTGAAAGACATCTCTATCTCTCCCTCTCTCTGTGAATCTATCTTGCAAATAAAAATTAATAAATCTATAAAAAAGAAAATCCCTACACCATTTACACAGCTGCTGTACATACATTCCTGTTGATAGGAATGGCAGTATTGCTTTTTTTTTGAAAAGCTATTTTGACAGGATGAGGTGACATCTCAGTGTGGTTCTCATTTGCATTTCTCATGTCAGGCACCTCCCCCTAGAGAGTCCAGCTGCCACACAGATGCAGCACGTCTGGTCTTAGAACACAACGCTGCCAACCTCTGGCGTTGATCACGTGCTTGCTGTTTCCCATGATCTCCTAGCTGCTTCTCAGGAACTCCAGAGGCCACCACTTCTCACAAGTACCCTGTTGTACTTTGGAAGCCTGGAAATTTGAGTTGCCTGAGATATTAACTTAGTCAACAAAGTAAATGCTTTAATGCTAAGGAAAAAACAAAAAAGGAAAGGGTGTTTTCACAGAAGTCATTCTCTCTGTGTGTTTTCCCAATAGCGTCTGCTTCCTTGTTTAGCCATGTTCTGCTTTCCTAAGATTGTCTCATGACTTCTTGGGAAATTGAACAATGTCCTAAATATTCTGAATTCTCTATCGATGTGATATGGTTCATGCCTGACCTGTAAGAAGTACAGGAGTATATGTCATCTGATTGAAATAACATTATTACAAAAGCCAAATAGAAAGAGTAAGTCATAATTTGTCATTGAACAAATTTAAGTAAAGACATCCTAAATATCTTCCATCCTTTCTAGATTAGTCCTGGTGCCACACTGTAAACAGAGAAAAGATGAGGATCAGATGTATCAGCAAATAAGAAAAATTTCCCTTTTGCCTTTTTGTTGCATTGTAATTAAGTCGTCTCCTCTTTCTTGCTTTGCAGTAACAACACCTACTACACACTTGAAACCCAAAGAACCACAGGACAAGTAGTACACATTGTGAGGTTAGGATGCTGTCTACAGCTTTACAGTTGCTAAAGTTATTTATATCTAGCTTTTACTGTTGGTTTCCTGTTTGTGAAACACAATTCATTTATTGTCATTTGACTTAATGAATCTGCCATTTGGATTTAATTCAGACATTCACTTTGTTCCTTACCAATTTCATCAAGAGAGGGAAGTTGAACTATCCTGAACACAGATAAGAAGGACTTACAGTAACCGAATAGTTAATCATATGCTACAGTACAGTGATAATATGTCAAGTACCCTTCTTCTGTGTCACACTAAAGTTCACTATGAAGTTTCTTGGCTTCCTGAGAAGGCACCACTTTTTATAAAGTTGGCCTAAAGTCATACAGCTTGGCAATCCTTTCTGAGTGAGGTAGCTTGCCTTTCAGTTTGCTGTTGAACTGGAGGAGTAATGATTGAAGCATTAAATAGGATAATGTAATTCCAAGACAAGCGAACTAAACGAGCAGCCTAAGGGAAATGGGTCAACCTTCGCTCACAAAGTCTGTATCTGAATTGATAAACTGATAGAAGTATCAAACTAGAATGGCACACTCCTACTATTCATTCAAGCATTCTTAATAATAACGCTAGTAGTAAGCAAAATGTAAATAAAACATAAAAAGTTGATAAAAAATGACAGGGCGGTTATGTTTTTTCCAGTAACTATAAGTCAGTTACTTCTTTCCCCTTATGTTAATTAGCCCACTCAGATATCAGAGGATCAGAATTTTGCTTCAGTGAGTCCCGCTTCCTTCTATTCATTGTGTGAGTTAAATGATTTTGACTGTGTGTTCAGAGTGACATTAATTTTATATCAGTTTCCTCTTGCATCTTACGCCTAGAGTTGTACAATCCCAAATGTTGAAATGTTGAGTCTTCATAAGGCCTGTTTTCTTGGTATTTATTTTCTAATGAATAGTTGTTTAGTATCACGTGGAACTGTGCTGACACATTTAACACAGAGACTGGATCGTGCTGCTCAGCACTGTCTTTGCAGAACCGAGGACAACAGTGTTGGAGCTAAGTTGTATTAATCGTCATGGTGCAAGTTAGTGTTGTTGCTATTAGAATTGGTACTAGATTTTCCATGGTGTCTAGTACATTGTAATATTGCAGTTACATCATTTTGGAAAAAAACTTACAAAAGTGACAATAAAATAGCTTTAAAAAATAAAAAAGATAATTTATTTATGTAAATGTAGTCTCCTGCCTAACTAATGGGAAATTCTGTGGCTAGGATATTCTCTAATATCTAATAATACTGAAAAAAGACACTAATCTGCTACTAAAAAGAAAAGAAATTATTATCTACATACAGCGAGGTTCCGTACAATGATCCTGGTATATAGAATTCTGTACCTTGTATAACAGGAGAATGAAATATCAATGTTACTGGAATGAATCTACAACAAGTCACTGTGAAAACTATGGGCTATAAAGGAGGAGAGTAGTGGTGGATACACATTGTATCTGTAAAGAAACCTCAAAGGAGGGAGGAAATGTGTGTGTCCCCTTCTCCCTTCTCAGCCTTCTCAGCCACTCCCTGGCTGACTGCACGGGACACTCTCCAGGTTCTGACTAGAGAAGGACTTATAGTCCTGTCTTGATTCTGTAGTTTTAAATCTAAGACATTAGTGTAACTACTCTGTCAGGACACAGAGACTGTTTTATAAAAGCATTAGATCAAGGCATGAACAAATATTAAAGTATAAATGCACCAGTGGATGTTTGGTGAGAAGTTCCATGATAGGGCAGTGTTGTACAGGGTCACATAAAAAGGCGACTGTAGTATTTTGATCTGCACAAGATTTGATTATATGTGAAAGTGAACAAAAATACAGGGTGTAACTTCTGTTGAACTCTCACTGTGTGCCGGCAATAGTCAAAGGTTTTGTACACGTTAGCTTGGTTAATCCCTGTGATAATAGATAGTTTAAATATGGAACCAAGATCGCAGAGCCTCTTGGTAATGACTCCATCAGCTGGGGCTATCTGATCCTGCCAATGCAAGGGGTGTGTCAGTGAGATAAGACAGTGCCTCACGCAAGGGACTGTAACTGTGTAAATGCTAAGGCCAACTTGCAAGTGCCTAATCAACTCCAGATCAGACAGAAA